AGCGGGGACCGCCCCGAGGTCACCCGCGCGCCCTTGGCCCCCGCAGCAGCCGGCCGCCCGCCGACCCCGAGCGTGCCCCCACCCGCCCGCGGCAGCGCTCGCCCGCGCCTCACTCCAGCGGGGGGAATCCTGCACCCCAGCCTGACAGGTCAGCGAGTCGCTGCACCCGAAGCCAAGTTCACCCGGCGAGTCGCCGCCGCGTCCTCGATCCCGGCCCCCCAGCTACCCCGGCGGGGCACCCTCGTCCCACCCCGCCGCGAACTTACTCGTCCGGGTGTGTTTCTTCGGTCATTTTCTTGTTCACCTAGACGCCTGTCCCGCGGCGGGCAGCTTTGCTCCCTTCATCTTCCTGTCCGCTCACCCTCCTTCACATCTCCGAGATCGCCTGATTTGGTGGTATTGTTGGGGCGGGGGGGAGCTGGAGATGAAGGGGGCGCCGAAGCAGAGAGGGAACCCGTGCGACCCGAGAGCCGTGCGCAAGGCTGAGGAAGGGGTGCACGGGCAGGATCGGCGGAGCGCGCGCCGCAGCGCCGCCGAGCGGGAGGGGGCTCCCGGACGCCGAGCGGCCGGAGGGGCGAGATTTGGGCAGGGGACCACGGTGGGGGAGAGCCGGAGAAAAACAAGCGCGCCTCGGGGCGGCGGGCACTGCCGCGAGGAGGAGGAGGAGAAGGAGGAGGAGGAGGGGGAGGAGAAGGAGGCCGGACGCGGTGGGGGCTGGGCCCGGGGTCGCCCCCAGGGAGGCGGGCCAATCACGGTTCCGGGGAGCGGTCGGCGGCCGGGGGAGGTGCGCCTGGGAGGCGGTGCAGGGCGCCCCGTCCGAGCCCCATCTCTCGACTCCACCGATTTACTCCATATTGGATTCTCACCGCCGCCAACAGGAGGAGGAAGTAGGGCGGAAGCGATGACGTCTTCCCAGCCGGCCAGAGGTGGTGGAGTGCAAAAAGCTTCCTACTTGCGACCGAGAAAAAAAAAAGAGGGGGGGGGAACAACTTTGTCCCACCCACTGAGCATGCCCGGCTTCTTCTCCTCCTCCCTCCCGGCTTCCAGTCCCCGAAGAGCCGCCGAGCCAAGTAGTTTGTGCCGAGTCTGTCCGGCTCCGAATCCTCACTTCCAGGGCTCCGGGTTTTAGGAAACCCAAGAGGAGGGAGAGGGAGAAGCGGGGGGGGGGGGGGGGGGGGGAGGTGGGAGCCGGGGACTCCGACACATCTGGCTCCGGTTTTGTCCCCTCCTAGGTTTAAAAATCGAGGGAAGAAGGCGGAGACCGGGAGCTCTAGGTGCAGGAATGGGGCGAAGCTGCAGAAGGGGTGATCTGGAACCGAGGAACCAGTACCACCACGGCGGGGTGCGAGGGTAGGGCCGGCGCAGGTGGCCGCGTCTGTCCTCAACGCCCCAACCCGACCAGTAAGGCAGGGAAGGGAGGGGGGTTACACTTTGCCCAGGTACTGAATGGCTGAGGTGATTCAGTTGCACGTGGATCTTGTGATCATTGTTTGTCTTGATAGAAGAACAGGCATTTTAAAAATAATCATGATTTATGCATAGCAAAATGTAAACCCCACACAACCCAGAGACATTTGCATTTCGGTAAACATGACGGTTAAAACAAATCCCAAATGTGTTTCTTAAATTACCCAGTAAATCTTCTGTGAAGGATGGTTCTTGTCTCAGGCCCTTGAAAACCATCCTTACCCAGCCAGGGGGTTACCAGCCCTGTCGGCTTAGACACAGACTGACTGAGAGCTTCTAATGAAACTCCCCGTCCCTTTCTCTTTAAATTATTTTTTTCTTGCTTTGACCTAGGACCTGTTGCAGGTTTTCTCGGTGGGCACATGCCCTCAGCCAAAATGTGCAGTGGTCTGGCTTCCCAGCATGCAAATCACCAAGTTGACTCAAATCTGTGCTTGATTTCATGCTCTTCTGTTGCAGCCTTAAAATTATTTGTAACTTTTTGTTCTTTGGTCAGTTCTGGGGCTTGAACTCTGAGCCTGGGCCCTGTCCCTGAGCTCTTCAGATCAAGGCTAGCACTCTACCACTTGAGCCACAGTGCCACTTCCAGTTTTCTGGTGGTTAGAGTCTCATGGAGTTTCCTGCCCAGGCTGGCTTTGAACCGAGATCCTGAAATCTCAGCCTCCTGAGTAGCTAGGATTACAGGCATGAGCCACCAGCACCCGACTTATTTGTAATTTTTAAAATTATTTACTTAGGCCTGAACTGGGCTAGAATTCAATGCTTCTAGCTCTCATTTGGCTTTTTTGCTCAAGACTGATACTCCTATCTCCAATTAACTACCAGAATACTGGAATTGGCACTGTGGCTCAAGTGGTAGAGAGCTAGCCTTGATCTGAAGATCTGAGGGACAGTGCTCAGGCCCAGAGTTCAAACCCCACAATTGGGGGGACTGACTTTGAACCTCAAGCTCCAGATCTCAGCCTCTTAGGTAGTTGGGATTACAGGCCTTACCCATTAGGGCCTAGTTTCCTCTGTAATTTTTTTTTTCTAGTCCTGGGCCTTGAACTCAGAGCTGAGGCTCTGCCCCTGAGTCTCTCTGTGCTCAAGGCTAGCACTCTACCACTTGAGTCACAGCATCACTTCGGGCTTTTTCTGCTTATGTGGTACAGAGGAATCGAACCCAGGGCTTCATACATGCTAGGCAAGCACTCTACCACTAAGCTACATTCCTAGCACCCTCTGTAATTTTTTAACACACACAAACAAAAACCCTCCATATTGTGACTTTGCAGTTGGTTCCACAAATTTCCTTGGCAGTGAATAGTTTTCCTTCTTTATTTCCTGTCAGGAAGCAAGGGTCTCTGCCCTTCCTTATCTCCAAACATGGACTGATCCACATACAGAATGCTACTAAACAAACTGAGAGAGTATTGGCCTTAAAAAGTAGAATACATAAGAGTATGTGGTTTACTCTCCTGAGATGGTCCAGAGCCCCATGGTCTTTCTGCCACTCTTGACAGTTGGTTCTTGGGTGCCAAACATCCCATCAAAAAAAAAAAAAAAAAACCTTTTGGATTACTTAGAAATCTTCCAGAAGTAAGTCTGTGTCTCTGTCCTGCTTTCCATTATATGTTTTTCTAAAGTAGGGAGGTTCTGGTGGCCCTGAGTGGGAGTGGCTCACTCAGCAGACTCTGGATTCGGCTTGCTGAGTGGGAGTAGTAGGCCCACTGGGCAGACTCAGAGTCCTAGTAGGGATAAGTTGGGGGCCCATGAGGCCACAACTCAGCCTTCCATTTTTGTCTTGTCTTGTTCTGTTTTTAAAATTGGTACCAGTTTTTAATGTGGACTCTTGTTTTCCCATGTTTTTGTTGTTTATTTGGACAGCTCTGGGGGAATAAAAGTTCCAGCTTCCTCACTAGACTGCTATGCCCCCCTCCCAGTGTGGCAGCAGTCAAGAGGTGGGCATGGACAGTTGCAGGCCTGATTTGGTTCTCTACAAGACTCAAGCTGTGTCTCTTCCCTGCTCAGGCAGCTGGAGGTGAGGGCATTGACAGCTGTGAACCTGGTTTGGATATTTCGCTGATCTGGTCAGTGTAAAAAGTTGTAAAGTGCGCTTGTCTAAAATTGATTAAAAGCCAGGTGCTGGTGGCTCACGCCTGTAATCCTAGCTACTGAGGATCTGAGGATCACGGTTCAAAGCCAACCTGGGCAGAAAAGTCCGTGAGACTCTTATAAACCACTTCCGGGTGGAAGTGGCACTGTGGTAGAGAGCTCACCTTGAGCTGAAGAGCTGAGGGATAGCTCCCAAGCCCAGAGTTCAAGCCCCATGACCAACAAAAAATAAAATAAATAAAATAAAATTGGATGAAAGAGTCAGGCTAGTTTAGTTTCAGGTGACAACACTCTATCTTCAAAATTTATTTGCTATGCTAATATGCTTGTTATCAGGCACAAGTAATAAAGCTGGGGAATGCTAGAGTGATTTATTAAGTTTTTGTCTTACATCTTTGTCATCTGCAAGAATAAGATTGGCAAAAAGATCTCTTGCCACGAGCTGGGCACTGGTGGCTCACACTTGTAATCCTAGTTACTCAGGAGGCTGAGATCTGAGGATCATAGCTCAAAGCCAGCCTGGGCAGGAAAGTCCACCACCAGAAAACTGGAAGTGGCATTGTGGCTCAAGTGGTAGAGCTGAAGAGCCAGTGCCCAGGCTCAGAGTTCAAGCCCCACAACCAGCAAAAAAAAAAAAAAGAACTTTGTGTGTGTTACTATATGTGTAAACATGTTCAAGATAAAAAACTGTCAACATGTAAAAAAAAAATAGCTGGGTTTATACTTACACCACACACACACACACACACACACACACACACAAAGGTAAATTGGAGATAAGTATTAGAAATTTAAATGTAAAGGTTTATTACCACTTCATAAAACTTTACCTGTTCTGCCTGTCTAAAATTGCTTGGGTATTTCAGTCAAAAACCAAGACAGGCCGGGCGCTCCGGGCGCTGGTGGCTCACGCCTGTAATCCTAGCTACTCAGGAGGCTGAGATCTGAGGATCGCGGTTCAAAGCCAGCCCGGGCAGGAGAGACCGTG